TAAGAAACTTTTATTTTATTGACTTTGAATAAGATATAAAAGGTGCTGGATGGATTAAACTGATTTCTGAAAATTAACCAATCTATATTATTGCTTTGTTAAATCTAAGAATCTTAAATTCTTTTCTATAAAGTTTAATTTAATTTAATATTTTTTATTATATGTTTTCTCTATATAGCTATTGTTAGAACTTTTCCTAATTTGAAAAATTAATATCATACTATTTGATTCTTTTACTTTGCTTACTTTACAAATAGATTTACATAATTGTTATACTTATTATTACTATACAGTATGCCTTGACCTTTATAATATTTAGGATAAAATATTTCCTTATTATTAATTTCTTGGTTCTGTTTTATTGTAACCAGTTGATATTTTTAGTCTATCTTCTGACTAATATGTTTGCTTATAAACGTATAGACTTTTATGTTTTGATTATTGGCTATAATTTGTAATAATTAAAAATATATACTTTGGGCAATATATAGAGTATTAAGAATATATAATATCTCTACTCTTATTGTTAATAGTCATGTTGATGTTTCTGCTAAAAATTGCTTGACTATTCAATTATTCTTTAGTAGAATTCCTGCAAAGCCCATTTCTGATTCACTATCTTTAATATATTTTTTAAAGAATCTATTTGTTAAAAAATGAAGTGATTGTTCAATTGTATTTTATTGTATCTTAAAATATTTATTTTTTATTATTATTATTTTTTTTTTATAAACATGCAACTTTGCCTATTTTATTGAATTTGTGTACAAATATATGTTACTTTATCCAATAAAAGCTATATTACAGGTATTTTTCTCATGTGTCTATCTGTACAAGATTACAAGAAAAACAATTGTCATCTTTTTTCGGATATCCACTGCCATTGGCAGTGGGACTTGATATTGATAACCCTTGTGGCTTGTTGTCCAAGGGGATTAATGTGTTTAGGCACCATTAGCATGTTTCGAGTAGATGTAGTAGATGTTGTGTATTCCTTTAAGGATGTTTGTGAGTAGATTCATGGGTGGGAATTCCTTGTCTGAAGTGTTTTATTGTTTGTTTTTCCTATTGGTTGTGTTCTTTTCAAATTGTTTCTTCTTTTTTTGGGATGTGATTTCTTATTGTTCTTCCTAGTTGTGCAGTCTGATACATCTGTCTATCTAGATATTATATGTCCAAAATCTTATACCATGGATGATGCTTTTGATTATTTCGAAAATTCTGTCAGTTTTGACGAAGATGTTGATAGTTTTAATTATGGTTTTACTAATTGCTCCAATTATGATTCTGTTCCATGTGTTGTTGTTTTCTATTGCTAATTTTAGTTCTTGTTTGATGTTTTGGACTTATTTGTTTTCTATTCTGGCTGTTATTTCATGATGAAGGGTATTCAGAATGGTTTCATTGATATCAATTCCATGAAAAGGGTATCTGAAGGAATGAATGTAATCTTCTGTTTATGTGCATGCAAAATATGTATCTGATGAATATATGTCTGGTCGTCTGAGATGCAATTTGTCCATAGTGGGTAGTTCTTTGTTTTAAAGTTTAAGAGCGAAGCTTTTTTGGAGATGGTTTCATGTATCTGTACACCCGTTGGCCATATTGGAGGGGTAAAGCTTCTGGATTGATTCTTGCCAGTCTATGTCCTCTGCCTATTATTTAGTGAGTTTTTTGTTTCTTGTAAGTGTAATCCATTTGTAGATTAGTTGTGCTTATCTTATGCTTTTGAGGGCTTTCCTAATATTTATGGAGATTTCCATTTTGTTATTGTGAAAAAAGATTAAAATGCTACTATTGAAAGTAATGTCGGTGAGATGACCTTGGTGGTCAGCCATGTTATCAGTACTGTATCATTTCACGAGTTTGTCTACTTCTTTGAAGGGGTGATTTTTTTTGTGGTTCTTTTTTCCTGTCTTTATCCAGCTAATTGTGGCATTATGGTGTTCTGTTAGGACTCTAAGATTGCTGATGAGCCTTAGTTCATTAACTTTTTTAATGTTGCCTATTATGTAGATACCAAATTCCTTTATAAGAGTATTGAAATCTGTTTCTATGGTAAAGATATGCCTAGGTCTGCTGATTGCGACTGTAATTTTTGCTGCTAGGATTTTGGCCCAAAAAGCTAATACCTGATCAATGAGTTGTATTCTGAAGCTGATTACACATATATTGCTTTGAAGTATATTTATTTCTATTCCACATATGTTGTGGTTTCTTGATTGATTAAAGGCTCCATTTATGTATATGTATGGATTGTCAAGGTCTTTGGCATGTTTGTATATTTTGATGAGTTGTTGTTTAGTATTGGGGGTGACAGTGATAATACTTAGGAGATCTGAGATGGCATGGGTATATTGTCTATATCAATGTAGTCGAGAACTTGATTTGGATCAGTCCTGAAGTGTATAATACTATTGGGCAAGATCTATAATCTTGTTTGTAAGGAGTTGTCAAGTGAGCCACTTGATTTGGTCTTATTGATGACTGGAACTTTATAGGATCCTTGCATGGATATTTCAATGCAACAGGTTTGGCCTCTGTTATCTATGCTATTGGTTTTGTCACAACCAGAACATGCAGTAACCAGAAATGTACTGGTCATGTTGAAGTGTCTTATCTTGATCATATCTTGTTTGTTGCTGATCCATTTACTGAGGATTATCTGATATTTGAGTTGGGGGTGATATACTAGGATCATTGTGCTTGTTCTTATCTTGCAGCTTCGATTTGAATCATTTGATTGAGGATAGATGAAGTGATGTTGGAATTGATGAAGAGAGCTATTTGTTGTTAAAGGTGTGCGAACCAGATTGGTTCTTTTCTTTTTGTAATTTTGTTGTATAGTGCTTCTACCTGTGCCAGTTCAGTGGCTTTGACATATATGCATCAAGCAGTTGCTCAATCCAGAAAAGCCTGTGGATATATAGTGCCATTCTGTTATTATGGAATCAGTCTTGCTCTATGAATTCCTCAATAAAGTGAAGGTTATAGTTGTTAGAATTGTGTACAAGAGCATTTCTAATATTGATATTATTATTTTGCAGGTTCTATATGTAGTCCTGTAAGAAACTGTTCTTGGATTTGAAGATTGAGGGACAGGTGTTAAGGATGTTGTCTTTCTGTTAAGCTAACCATTGTAATTCTTGTATGTAGCTGTGAAAAATATAATCAGCAGGATTAGATTTAAAGAAGAGTTATTGCATGTTACTAGCATGTTTCTGTAGTTGGCGAGTTTGTGTCTCCATGATGCCATATAGTTTGTCGAAATGAATGATTAGGTTTAGAGCTGACTTGGCCAAATTGGCTCTAGGTCTGAAGCTTCTTCTATTTTTTCTGTCAATTTTGTCACACTCATCTGTTGTTAAGACAAGGTCTTGAAGAAGATATTCGATTGTAGGGAAAATAATATGGTTGATTATGTAACAATATATTTTATTCATGATTTGTTTTCTAGCCAGTGTATTGCATAGTGTTGTTGTTTTTGATATGATCAGGTTACATTGATATTTCTTGCCAGCTTTGGATTTGTGCCAGATTTTTAGAACTTGAATTGCTGCTGTGGGATCTGCTGGTGTAATGTTGTAGTCATTTATCTTTATACTTTCTTTTGATGCATTGAGGATCAAGAGTTCAGATTTTTGGAGATTGACTATGATATCATTTAGATTGTAAAAAGAGGTACTGATATTGATAATGTTCAGGAGATCTTCCTTGTTTTGTGTAATAAATGTGATATCATACATATATGCTGTGATTGATACATTGATGTTTGGGAGGGGAAGTTACAGAGTAGCGATTTGTGACATTGCAGTTGGTAGCCTTTCATATTATCGATAACTGAGATTAAGGGGTTGTAGTATATGTGCCATAGAAGGAGGAAAATTGTGCCACCTTGGTTGATGCCTTCTTTTACCTAGTATAGATCTGTATTATCAAAAAAGGTGATAACAGTGTTTTGTCTGTTATAGAAACAATTACAGATGATCTGTGAAAGGATTTGATTTGATACATTGCAGTTTCTAATCTTTTTATATTAACTGTGTCATATGCTTTGCTCATATCCTGAAAGAGCATATAGCATAGTTTTTGTGTAGCTCGGGTGTTCTCGAGTATCTAATTGATTATAGTAATTGGTTCTCAAGTACTGTTACCTGGGAGTGCTATCCAATTGTGTGAAGAGAGGATTTGATAGTTTGTTATGATTTTTACAAGGCGATTGGTGATGATTTTTGTAAAGATTTTTTAATTGATTCTAGGAGGGTAATTCGTCATGTAATATTGATATTGTGTTGTCAATCTTTGGGCTTAGGTATCGGATATATTGTTCCCAGTTTCCATTCCCTAGGAACTGCTTCTTTATTCTTTGAATGTTGAAAAAGGTGATGATCAGTTCTAGAAACTCCTTGCTTATATGTTTGTATATTATGTATAGGATTTGTGAGAGTTCTGGGGGCAGATTTGTTACTAGTGTGATTAAGGTTCTCCAGGAGCTCTGGTAATAATATAGGTGTCTTGACTTCATTGTACCATGTTGGGTCAATATTTTTTGAGGGTTCGTACTTCTGTTGCCATATAGTGCCGTGTATTCGTAAATGTTTCTTTGTTTTGTTCATTGTTTGAAGTGGGAACGGACTTCCTCTTTTATTTCAATGGGATTGGTGATGAGTTTTCTTTCAGAGAAGATATTGTTAATAAGTCTACTAATGATGATACTGATCCTGGGTTGGTCTAGCATAAAGTGGATTATGCATTTCTTGTCTAGGTCAAATTAATTGTTCCTTAAATCTTTTTTTTTTTGATGTCTGAGATAGTTTTGTCTTTGATGGCTTTTTTCTTAGTGAGTTTTTTGATTTTGATTAATGTCTTAACTTTATCAATAAGTTCTGTTATGTTGTTGTTTGAATGCCAGATGGATAATAGAATTGTTTATGTTATTGCTTGATAGAAAGTGTTGCATTTGCCTGAGTCATGATTGTTTGATTTTTGTGAATGAAGAATCAGTTGTCTTTTATATTTATTGAGTTATAGAAAAAAGATTGATCTAATGGTGCTTGTTTATTTTTTATGGTTTTTTTGCTTCTCTTTGAATTTATGTATATATTTATTTGCTACCTTTAAGATAACATCACAAAGGGCCTAAAAACTCTTTCTGCTGATCCTCTACCCACACACAAAAAAGATGTTCACAAGAAATTTTTTATTTCTTTACTAATAAAGTTTTAATACTATCCTTAAACCAACTTAAAGTTTTACTTTAAGAGATACTCCTAAACTCTCCCTCTTGTTTATATTTCGTTTTCAAACAAAAACTTGACTTTCTGTGACCTAGAAAAGTCAAGAAACACCTTCTCTACCTACGGCAAGAAAGTTCTGAAAGGAAGAAGAACTAATAGTGTAGTACTTGAAGCCTTTCATATTGAAGCATATCTATAGAGGTTTTCTGCAATAGGAGATGATAAACATCAAGCCATATTTCAAAGTGTTTGCCCACTGTTTCTTTCCTCTTATAGTTGCCCAAAAATTTTTTTGGTTTTCTGGGGAATTTTGCCTACCTCAGTTTGACCCTGAATTTTAGGTAATACAATCTATTGCAAAATATGATTGGTGAATACAAAACACATTATTAGCTGAATGTAAACAAGTACCTACTGGTCACCTTACATGTTTTGATAACGTCATTGGTGATGGAAAGAGTTGATTGGTGCCCCGTGTCTATCCCACTCCTTCAATTGGGTTAACCTATAGATCAAGTACCATGAGATCAATAAGATATGAGCAACAAGTCCCCAAGTGATAAAAAGCTATTATTTGTTCAAGCTGAGATCTTTCTCTCTTATTATTCCAGTCAGGCAAAGTTCAAAACCAAGGTCTCCCTCTTATCCTGATCAGGCAATAAGACTGAATAGTCTCTAGTCCATGCTAAGTTCCAACTCTTTGGTTACAGTTGAGAATGCATTTCTCCAGAAGTTGTTGAAGAATATCACAATTGACAAGGATTCTCACTACTCTTATAAACCTCCCACCATTACAAGGCAAAAGGATTATTTAGGAATTTGGTCTTTTGGATAATAGAAGATGTACACTAGTAAAATTCCTTTAATTAGGCATGGCTGTTGGAAGGTATCACATTGAAATAACATGGTCTAGTCCTTACTAAGTCATATAATAACCTGGGGTCCATCATAAGTCATTTCTTTATCACAGGTGAATAAAAAATCACTGTTCAAAGAATGTTGGAACCAAGTAAGTATGTTCTAGAAATAAAGGTTCCCACTAGGTGATAAGTCTTTTTAGATGATACACAAGAAGGAAATCAAGATCAAGAATGAATAAGTTTCTTAGATGGCCAGAAAAAGAAAAAATATCTCAATTGAATATTTCTTATTGAGAAGAAGTCTTGAGAAGCAGATCTTTGGAGGAAGCTGGAAATATTTTTTCAATTTTTACTCTTTCATTTTCTTGTGGTCTGCTTAGACATTTTTAGATATTCCCTCTCTCTTTTTTTTAACCCATCCTTTTATAGTTTCCTGCATTCCAGCGGCTTGGTCAGATATATGGCAGTGACAGCCTGCTGGCAATGATACAATGGACTAGGAGGGTCTTTATCCAAAGATACTGTGGAGTGAAATATTGTTCCAAGGTCAAACTTAGAAGCTTTTATGCTTACGACAAGTTAGTTAGATTAGAATAATAGTTTAGCTATAGTATGTATCATACTGTTCGAATGAAAATGTACTTTTGTTTTCAATTGATTAATAAATTGACAATCTAGCCTAGCTACAGGTACTCAAAAAAAAAAAAATAAGTTTGTTATTAAGTGAAAGTCCATGTATATTGTAAATGTTTTATTTTAATATCTTAATAAAGACATGTCCTAATATCATAATTGTGTGTTAAAAAAAAAAAATTAATTTTAATCTTTAGTCAATAAATTTATTTAAAATTTAATAAAATAAAAAATTCAAAATTAATTTATAGCAAACAAAATCTTTTAAAAAAATTAAAAAAAAAATTATTATACTGTATATTAAGAATGAAATCACTGTTAGTAATAAAAATAATAATTTTCTAGATTAATATAAAGTTATTGATTTTGACTTTTTTTGAACCTTATGATCTTTATAAAAAAAAAGAATATTTTTTTATTTGATTTTTTCTTTCTAAAAAAGTATAAAAAATAAAACTTGTATTAAGGTATAATAAATTTTTTCAAAAAATTTTCACATATAATTTTTAAAGTTTTATTATTGTTAAATTTTTTTTTCTTTCTTAAATTTTTACTTGAATAATTTTGATTGGTTATTATCATAAATTATATAATGATTAATAAAAAAAATTAAAATATTTAATAATAATAAAACTTTTAATATCATATATGTAAATTTTAAAATTTTAATTGCAAATTAAAATTTTAAAATAAAAATATAATAAGTTGACTCAAACTTTTGGAAGCAATCATATACAAAGCTATAGAATCAAAAATCCTATCCACCTTCGAAAATAATTACCATATAAAGAAATTAATTTTCATATATAAGTGAGATAATACAGTATATAAAAATCTATAAATGTAATATTTAATTGCTATAAAGACAAGTCATAGTTGCGTGACTGTAGGTTAAAAAATAATAAAATAAAATTTATTTAAAATAAATAATTTAATTTAATAGAATTAGCACACGTGTATACACATTTTATTATATCAGTATTATAATATATAAAACATGATGTGTTTCATAATCTGCATTAATAAAGCTTCCTACATCGAAATAACCATTTTTAGGAAATAAATAACGTCTTCGTAAAAAAAAAAATTCGATATCTTAATCACCAAATTTCTTACAGAAAATAAATCTAGTTAAGCCCAATCAAAACTCCTTTCGACAGCCTTTTTCCAAGTACTGTATCGTTCTTCCGCAATTTCATGAGTAATTTCTGGGGAAAATACCGCCCAACCTGCAGTATTAACTTGATCCAATTCACTTAGTGATTTCCACACTCCAACGGCATATCCAGCAGCTATTGCAGCACCCAGAGCAGTTGTCTCCCGCATTTCTGGGCGTTCAACTTCAATACCCAGGATATTTGCTTGAATTTGCATACACAAATCTGAATTTGTCATACCGCCATCTACCTTCAATGATTTCAAAGGATGCCCAGAATCAGAATTCATGGCATCCAAGATTGCTTTTGTCTGGTAACAAGCAGCTTCAAGGGTAGCACGTGCAATGTGATTTCTATTCGTATATTGAGTAATTCCGACTATGCAACCTCGAGCATCGTCACGCCAGTAAGGAGCGAAAAGTCCCGAGAATGCGGTGACAAAATATACACCCCCTGTGTCTTCGACTTTAGCAGCTAACTCGTTTATCTCGCGGGCTTCCTTTATGATCCCTAAATTGTCACGAATCCACTTGACAGCTGACCCAGCCACAGCAATTGAACCTTCAAGCGCGTAAACTGTTGGCTCTTTGCCAAACTTGTAGCCAACAGTCGTAAGGAGACCAGTTTTGGAAATGACTGGCTCCGTTCCGGTGTTGAATAACATAAAACATCCAGTACCGTAAGTATTTTTTGCGTCACCACTGCGAAAACATTTTTGTCCAACTAATGCAGCTTGTTGATCTCCCAGGTCACCAGCTATCGGTATACCCTTTATAGATTCCACAGTTTTCACGTAACCGTATATCTCGGACGACGAACAAATCCGAGGAAGGCAACTACCGTCAATTCCAAAAAACTCAAGAGCTTGTTCGCTCCATTCTAGTGTGTTAATATCCATGAACATGGTACGGGACGCATTCGTAACGTCAGTGATATGTAATCCACCATCACATTTTCCTGTCAAATTCTATAAATTTAGTCATATTTGTATGTAAGTATTAAGATAAATTCATAAATACTTAGATAATCTAGACAATATACCCAAATAAGCCAGGTATCGATATTTCCAAACATTAGGGTTCCATTATCATAAGCGTCTTTGACTACCAGAATGTTATCAAGTAACCATCTTAATTTTACCGCGGAAAAATAGGTGGTAATCGGTAAACCGCAAGTTTTCTTCAAAACATCTTTCCCTAACGGGGACTTTGCATTTAATTGATGAACTAATTCATGAGTACGAATATCACACCATACGACTGCGTTGTAAAGAGGTTTTCCAGTCACTTTATCCCATACTAGGGTTGTTTCACGTTGATTTGTGATTCCAATGGCCTTGATATCACTAACGGAATGACCCTTATTTTCAAATTTTTTAATGGCTTTGTTAATACATTCTTGTACGGAATCTAGAATTTCAGCTGGATCATGTTCTATCCAACTTTGTAATGGTTAAAGAGAGAGCATGAAGGTTAGTAAATTTGCCTATAGAATCCTAAATTATATAGCAAACCTACCCAGGATTAGGATAATATTGACTGAACTCAACTTGATGGTAAGCTACTAGAATACCATTCTGATCAAATATCAGAAAACGAGAAGATGTTGTACCTTGATCAATTGAACCAACAAATGATGGCATTTTAAAAATTTCAATCAGAAAAAAAAAGAGAGAAAATTTCTCTAATAGATCGATTATCGTGTCCTTTTTATTTTTTATTTCAAATTAAATCTATACTATTTTGTATAAAGATCATGTGCATACATGATCGAGTAAACAAAGCTTAGGGAATCTTATAATGATAACCTTAAAAAGTTGATTGCATAACGAACGTGACTGTATTTGACTTCTAAATAAAAGCCATTTAAGATGTTATTTGTCTAATTGCGAATGAGACGGTAATGAAAAAAATGTACTAATTGAATTTCAGATTGTAGAAAACAATAATCCATATCGGGAAGATTTGTTGTCGAGCTTACTTTAAATATTAAGAATAACGTCTTTGACTATATTTACGGCTTCTCAATAAATGACCTGAAAATTGCATCTACATGTATTTTTTTTATTAAGTATTCTTTAGAATGAAATGAAATAAAATCCATATATAGTTAACTTTTCAACACTACCTCTGTCCTATATTCGAGCTAACCATTTTGTTGATATATGGTAGCTCACAAAAGTCTTGCATTATCAAATGACAATTAATATTTAAAAATAATCAATTAAAATGAAAATTGAAGAAACAAGATTATTAGATTATTTTGAAAATACAGTATAAAATAGCAAGGTAATATAACATAAGTCAAATTCAAATTTTGTTATAAAGATAAAAATCAAATTATAATATTCTGTTTTATAAATATATTAAAAGCTAAAGTATCTTATTTATAAAAATAAAGATAAATAAAAAAAAATGAATATATATGTGTATTTATAAATAAAATATTTTACAAAATAATTATTGAATAAAAAAAACTCTTTTTACTGATTCCTTGACAACATATAAAAAAGAGATTTGCAAAAAAGTTTTATACTTTTGAATTAATAAAGTCTTAATACTTTATTTAAAACAATTTGAAGAATAACTTTAAGAATCCCTCTCTACTTTTCTTTCTTGTTTATATTTCTTTTCAAACAAAAACTTGACTTTTGGTAATCAAGAAAAGTCAAAAAACATCTTTTTTACCTATGACAAAAAAGTTCTAAAAGAAAGAAAAACCAATAGTGAAGTATTGAAAGCCTATTGCCTGAAGCAAGAGTATAACTAAAGTTATTCTATAGTGAATGAATAGGTAAACAAAAGCCTAAACCTAAAACTTTCCTTTCCACTATTATTTTCTTTTTAAAGTTGCTCAATTTTCAGAATTTTTGAAAAATTTTATCTATATCAGCTTAATCCTAAATTTTGAAGTAACATAAAATTGATATGGCTTTTGTTAAAGGTGATTAATCAATATAAAGTATGTTGGCTATAGAATGTAAACAAGCTTCTACTAATTACATTACATGTTTCAATAATATTATTGGTAAAAGAAAGAAAAATCAATAATATGAACTTCTTACTTTTCCAAATGAAGTATACCCAAAATGAAAAAATTATGAGACTATTAAAACAAACATTAAATTCTTTAGATAATAAAAAGTTTATTATTTATTCAAATCAAAGTCTTCAACTTTTTATCATTCTAATTAGGCAAAGTATGCAAAAGAAATTATTTTCTTATTCTAATTAGGCTATAAGACCAAAAAGCAAAGAAAATTCAGTTCTTCTTTAGAATTGAGAATACATTTTCTCAGATGTATAATAATTTATAATCAATGAGAATTTCCACTACTGGCCTTACCTCTCTTATCATTATAAGACAAAAAGATTGTTGAGAAATTTGTTTTTTAGATAATGAAAGAAGTTCATCAATAAAATTTTTTTGATTTTTACATAGCTACTGACAAATATCGAAAGTTATAACATAACTAAAAAATTATATAAGAACTTGAAATTCACTATTAGTCATTTTGTTCTATATAGGTAGATACAAAATTAAGATAAAAAAAAAGAATGTATTGAGCAAAATATTGAATCTAAGTAAGCAATAAGTACTTTAGATAGTTACAAGAAAATAATTAAGATTACAAATAAATAAGTTTCTCAAATAGTTAAAAAAAAATTTTAAAAGGATTAACTTCTAATAAAAAGAGGTTTCTAATAAAGGCTATTTGAAGAATATGAATCACCTTTATTTTTCTTTTTTCTTTCTTTTTTATATAGTACACTTGCATATTTTTAAATTTTTTTTTTTTTATTTTTTATTTATTTTTTATAGTTTTATGTAATCAATTCTTTAACAACTGTTTCCGCTGATTTTTTGACCACACACAAAAAAGATGTTCACAAGAAGTTTTTATACTTCTTTGCTAATAAAGTCTTAATACTTTCACTAAAACAATTTGAAATATGACTTCAAGAGTTGCCTCTACCCTTTTTCTTTTGTTTACAAACCTTTACACTCAAAAACTTGACTTCTAGTAATCAAGAAAAGTCAAGTAATACCTTTGATATCAACAGCAAGAAAGTTTCTAAAGGAAAAAGAACTGATTGTAAAGTACCTTAAGACCTTTTTAACCTTTGAAGCAAGAGATATATAGAGGTTTTTGATGATAGAAAAGCATATTTTTCCCCTTCCAGTCACTGTTGAGCCTCTTAGAGCTATCGCTTTCATAGTTTTCTGGAGAATTTTGCCTACCTCAGTTTGACCCTGAATTTTTGATAGCACAAATCCTCACCAAAGGTGATTGGC